CAATAAGTCTTAAAGGCCACCCACTGGTGCTCAATAGGAATCAAAATAAAATGATGTTACATTCTATCACAATCATATTACAGATGTTTATGTCACTTATGTATAATAGCTCTAGATTTTGAGGAATTTATATGCAGTCTTTTTTATGTAGGCATTAATTTGTTTGTGGAAACATTTAAATGAACAATCAAATCAGTCTATCCCCCATCAAACTGAGGCCAGGGCTTAGTGTATGTGTACAATATTGTCTTTATTCCATAGTTAATTGCATTAATTCTAGGATTTCATCTGTAACTCTGGAATTTTATCAGTTAGTACCATCTTTGATAGGTCAAAATCTATTTACAACTTAGTGGGAAACTGAGATTTACTTAGGAATTTTAAAAATTACTAATTAATATATTTGGTTTTCATACAAAATTTTAGACAGATATTTTTTTTATTTTTCAGTTAAGAATATTTACAATCTAATAAACTGAAGATCATTTGACTATGTATCTAGTTCTAGCATACATTTAGTGTGTAAACTCTTCCCAGCTCTACAAAATGTTTACCAGAAAAACAATCATCAATAACAATCTATTTATAAAGAATAAGTATCTGTGATGGTAAAAAATTAAAGCTGTAAAAAGGGGAATTTCCACATTTTAGGAGTGCAATTTTACAAAACTGAATAAACATCATCAAATATTTTAAAACGCTAAATGTATCAAAGTCAGCATATTTCTGTCTAGTAGGATCCGGCAGTGCTTCACACGGCATGAGCGTCAACATGATCATGCTGTAAACAGGTATTAGGTTTCTCACCCACATGGAAAGGATCCAGGACCCTCTAGTGTTACTGACCATGGGTGTGCCTCTCTTACTTAAGGTCGAGGCTTCCTGTTGTACAGACAGTGGTGACAAAGACCATCTGTCAGGTAGGAAGTAGAAATTGTTCCTCAGGGACATTCCTTGGATGCTATGCTTTACACTTCACCTACTTCCCACTGGCTGTAATTTGCACAGCTTCCTCTGTCTGCAGAAGAAACTACTAGATACATTCTTTTTTCAAGGTAGTTCTCTACCCCTTTAACACTGAAAGATAATTTACTATGGTAAACTCTGTGTTGAAGGCCAGTCAAAATTTCTTTGACAGTATCAAGCCAAGTTCATTACCATTCTTCATGAACAGTTTCAGTTCTTGGCACCACTACTCACACCTTGCTATTTTTTATTCACTAGTGGTCAAATTACTCTACTTTCTCAAAAAGGGAGGAAGGTTCTCCTTATTTAGCTTCTCTAAGAACCCGAATTATAGGCTCAATGTCCTTTATTTATGGCTAGAAACCAAATATGAGTGAGTACATCCCATGTTCCTCTTTTTGGGTCTGGCTTACCTCACTCAGGATGGTGTTTTCTATTTCCATCCGTTTGCCTGCAAACTTCAAGAAGTCCTTGTTTTTTACTGCTGAGTAGTACTCTAATATGTATATATTCCATACTTTCTTCATCCATTCTTCAATTGAAGGGCATCTAGGTTGTTTCCAGGTTCTGGCTATTACAAACAATGCTGCTATAAACATAGTAGAGCATATACTTTTGTTGTGTGATAAGGCCTCTCTTGGGTATATTCCCAAATAAGAAGGAGAACCCAAAGAAAATCATATAGGCTTCCTCCTGAATATTAACCTTCATCTGGCGATGAAAGGAGACAGAGACAGAGAGCCACATTGGAGCACCGGACTGAAATCTCAAGGTCCAAATAAGAAGCAGAAGGAGAGAGAGCACAAGCAAGGAACTCAGGACCGCGAGGGGTGCACCCATACCCTGAGACAAGGGGGAGGTTCTGTCGGGAACTCACCAAGGCCAACTGGCCTGGGTCTGAAAAAGCCCCGGTTAAAACCGGTCTCGCTGAACATAGTGGACAATGAGGACTACTGAGACCTCAAGAACAATGGCAATAGGTTTTTGATCCTACTGTACCTATTGGTTTCGTGGGAGCCTAGGCAGTTTCGTGGAGGCTCACCTTACTAGACCTGGATGGAGGTGGGTGGCCCTTGGACTTCCCACAGGGCAGGGAACCCTGACTGCTCTTTGGGCTGACGAGGGAGGGGGACTTGATTGGGGGAGGGGGAGAGAAAGGGGAGGCGGCGGTGGGGAAAAAAAGAAAAAAAAAAAGAAAAAACATACCACTAACTTGTGTATGCATTCCATGAGACTCTTGGAAAGTTTGGCTCCACTGAACTTCATAAGCCAAATAAAAAACGTTTGATACATTCCACGAGAATAAAAAAAAAGGGGGGGAGGAAGGGATAAGTGAAACTCAGAGATCATACAATCAAATAGGATTGGACAGAGAATGCTGGCTTCTACTTGCAAGGTTTTCTAGCAGACAAATATTTCCTAATGCCTTCATTATGTACAATTTCTCTCTCTCTTAGTAATAGCACACATAATGTTATTTGACTTGGGTGTATAAGCATTACACGAATGCACACAGTTCTCAGTAGTTTGGTACCTTAGCTATTGGCTTTGCCCACATGATTCATATCGAGTCTGTTGTCAAATCTTGATATCTGCTCTTTTCCGTGTCCTGGTCACAGGGTTTACATTGTTAACACTGTTGGGGCCTTTCTTTCAGCCTTCACAATAGACTTCAACACTTCCACTTTTCTATTCCTGAAGAAAAGTCACCCTAACATGCAATAGTTTCCTTCCAAATAGACACTTGGTTATCATAAACATGTCACCTATAGAATAAGTCAGAGACATCTCACCTGAAATAGATAGAGAATGTGTCATTTGACACAAGGAAAGATCTTTCTGGCCCTTCAGCCATCCTGATATTTTAACTCATGTTCAAATGATCTGGATGCCAGGATCACCCACTCATCTTGATATCTCAGTTCTACTAAATGCCTTCATTTTTATAAATGCCCTCATCCTGGGTTAAAATCAATTTAACTGTATAACCCACATTTTCTGCCACCCAAGTTCAAATTTTGACAAATATGTCAAAATGTTAAAATAATTCAACGTAAGGAGTTGAAAACATGTTCACTGTAACCATTGATTTGTTAATGTTGAAATATAGTTTGTTTCTCAAGTTTAAATAACTCTCTTCTCTAGAATGTTTATCATATTTTGCTGCTTTGTTCACATGATAAAAACTATGTAGCACATGTTTTCTCCACATATATGTTTCTATAGTAACTAGTTTTTATATGCAAATATAACCAAATATAAATATATACTTATATGTAAATATGAGTTATGCATGCATACAAATATACATATAAATATATATGTATATATAAATATATGTGTAAATATGTGTATTATAAATATACATGCATATATCTATATATACTGCTAATTTCAACTTATGAGCTGGTAAGAACCATGTATGTGTAGTAAACACTCACTAATCTACAAACAACACCTAACAAAGGCCTTGCATCAGATGTACTAAGAACGTTCCTATGTCGTTGAGTTTCAAAGAGAGACTTACTTAGCACTTACCGTCTACACGTGGAACTTATGCTCAGAAAAACTAATAAAGGCCAAATGACTAACAAATGACAGTAAAATGCCGTAGGAAATATCTTCCACCTTCAGCAGCTAGTGCAATATTCAGAAGAGAAAAGGGGATATTTCAGTGATTTATTTCCTAGGGAATTGATGGCATTTTGGCAGCTCATGTAATTTCTACCTGATTGAAATCTGAATCTGTCGGAAACCAACCAACAAGCCTTTATGTCTAAACTCCATAGACACGCAGAACATGTGTTTAATATATGCATCTAATGGCAAGCTGAGTCTTTAGTAAACTGAAGATTATAAAAATTGGTGGAATCAATACAATTAAAGTCTTTATTGAATGTATAAGGAGTTATGAATGAAGAGAAGAGTTATGAATACACGTAGAAATTAACAATTAGATAAACCATGTTTCTTGTTTGTTTATTTTCTTATTCTTCTGCTAGTATTAAATATTGAACCCAGAGCCTCAGGCATGCCAAGCAAGTGCTCAACCACTGAATTATATCTCCTTTGATAAATAATAAAGGGTATAAAATATGATTGTTTCATAAATAAAAATTATTACTAAATAATGAATAGCAGGAGGTTGAATTGTAGATATTTTTAGAACGAACAAAGTTTCTAAACTAACTCTCTAAAATTTGAATTTAAAAATTATTGTTGTCATCTTGAACAAATAATTTTGACTACATCACTTGCCCTCAAGTTTGCGAGACTATGTCAGCTTCACATCAGTGTCTGCCAAAGAAAGGCAAACAGACATTTGCGCAAGATGCTGTTTTCATTGTTGGTTCTCTTTTATATTATGGATAAAATATGTGTCCAGAAAGATGATTTAATCCATGACTGTGCTCACAATGGTTATTTTAGAATAGGCAATTGGCCGAGCAGTGGTGATACACACCTTTAATCCTAGCACTTGGGAGGCAGAGTCAGGCGGATCTCTTTGAATTTGAAGCCAGTCTGGTCTACAAGAGCTAGATCCAGAACAGTCTCGAAAGTATAGAGAAACCCTATCTAGAAAACAAAAACAAATGAACAAACAAACAAACCAAAACAGAATAAGCAATTGAGGAAAATCAGTGTAACTAGCTCCTATTTTTTTTTAGAATTTGGATCTCTGAAGGAGAAATCCCTATCAATTTGTTATTCATGAATAAATCGTATCAGGAAAAGTTGTCTCTGGGCCAGGAGGATGGGGATTTCTGATGAGGGAAGAGGAAGAGGTACTGAACGTCCATCTATGCACTTGATAGAAAGACAGGAAGTAGCAGAGTGACCTTTCCTCCTAATCTGGAGCCCAGCAGTTCCTTGGTCCCTGGCAATTCATTAAAGAGGCACAAAAGCCTCTTGTCTTGGTCCATAAGAACATAGAAGCAAATACAATGGATACTCAAGTGAAGTTTTCACAAGAATTTCTCATTACTTTTGGATTTTGTGAACAAATAACAGTTTGCCTGGTTTCACTTTTCTAGAGTTCACCAAGATGAAGAGATGGAATCAGTGTCTGGTTTTGAGGGGAAAGTGCTCCTCAAGCCCCAGCTGTGGTTCCTGACACCCATTTCAAACAGCTCGCCACCACCCGGAGCTCCAAGACCAGGAATACTGGTACCTTTGCAGACACCCACCCTCATGCAGCACACTTCTAGACAGACAATGCAGCAAAATAACATAGAAGTGGAATGAGCTTCATTTCTGGTTCCCGTGGAATGACAGGCCTGGCTCCCCCCAATAGCTATCCATCACTGGGAATGACCACCGAACCGAAACACACTGCTGTTTCATTTTTCTATGTAGGTTGCCATAGTGGATTTAAAAGCTTATCTAATTCTTCTAGGAAGATCACATGGTTCCCGGTTGTCCTTCATTGTTCTAACTGAAATGAAGAAAGCAGGCTTCCTTACCCACTCCGAGGAGTTGATGTGGGGCTAAGGTAGGTGGAAAGGTGAGGCGAAAGGAGGGGAGGGAGGAGGAACTGTGATAGCTATGTAAAATGAGAAAAGATTGTATTATAAAATTCTTAATAAAAAAAAAAGAAAGCAGGCTTCGTGCCACCTACTATCTGTGAGGAAGCAATAGGGAGAAGCTGTCTAATTTCCTGAGGAACAATCTGAAGGCTTAACTGTGTGTATATATTTGTATGCTGCATGCTTATTTTGTTTTGTTTTGTCATTCTTTTTAAACTGCAACAACCTTTGCCTCTTATCTAGAGTTGTAAGATGGGACTGAATGAAGGTACAGAAGAGAAACACAAAAGCAAGAAGCCCAAAATAGAAACAGTACTGGAAAAGAGGAACAGCATCCAGTTAGCTATGTACAGCATGATTCCAGTAAGCCCTTTTCCTGTAAGCAGTTCTTTCAGAACCGAGCACATGTGTTGAGCTGCACACCTCCCTCATACGTATACTGTGTGTACCAGAAGACAGTGAGAGGAGAACACAAGATGGTTTTGTGCTCCCAGCATGGAAACCATTAACTTGGTTTTACTTTGTAAGACTAAGCAAGTTATTTAAACTCATGGACTTGAATGGTCTCAGCACTTAAGAACTGGCCACCTTACAAGATAATTTTGTTAAGTGATGTATTAACATAATGTAGTAATCTCATGTTAAGCATAACTTTCTTATTATATTTAAAAATATTGAATCCACTCATTAATTAGTATGTGGTCAGCACTTATATTTTCAAAATGCTTTTATTCACCAACTCTTTATTTCAAAACATCGAAAAAACCAAGGAGGTAAAAACATGAGACATCTCTGTTGAAGTTTATAATGTACATTTAATGTAGTCCTGCTTTTATGAATAAAACTCACGAAAATTACATGTACAAAATTACCCAAATGATGTACATATGAGTAGAAATGTGTCTTAAATTTGTGTCTCATTTGCTAATATCCTTTAAAATAAATTTATTGTTGATAAAAATGTTCAGATGGAAAAGAAACGCCTTGATATATAATTAAAGAGTTATTACACCTGCCTTAAATGAGACTCTTTTTTTTATCTAGGGGTTAATAAGAATTTGAGGGGGGGGGGAGGAGAAAGAGCAGAGAGAATTTATGAATATATGGGATTATTACTCACCTATGTAGAGAGTAGAGCCCTGAAACAATCGCTTTCTCCTGCCAATTACCCCTCTAAGTTTAGTAAGGAAAACTTCTGATTTTAGTCTCATGTCACCAAATGTAGACCCATCAAATATGAGTAGGATATGGGCTAAATATCTGTCTGAACAATTATGTGTCATAAGCAATCTGAATAGAGGTTGTCGTTATTATTTAGTGATTTTTAGGTTCTCTTACTGAGAAAAGCAAGGCCTGGAATTCCTCAAAGCTGTTTCCAGTAGAGCTGCGTTGGGTTGCAGTTTGCACCTGGAACAGGGGAAAGCTTAGCAAGAGTAGTTGGTCATGTATAATTAGGTTCAGCACTCCACTAATTGCATTGCCAAATATTGTTCAAAACTACTTCTAAAATTCAAATTCTAGGTTTTGATTGTGGCCTTGTACTCCGTAAGTTCCATATCTCTTTCCCAGAAAAATGTTCTTCTGAATTTGTTAAAATATCAACTACCAGTTCTTTGTCATGAGCTACTGCATCCCTAAATTGACTTGTGAGTCCTGCAAATAGTCTGAAATAAAAGGTTGGCCTTTGGTTCAATCTCAGAAGCTGTTACCTTCTGCCTGGTAGAAATCATTGGCGTGCTCCTTTTGGGAGTCAACCTCATTCTTTGCAGTAAAGGCGGCCATCTGGAACCTGGTTATCACTGGGGAAATGGAGGAGGATGTCACTCTCAATGCACAATGGGAACAGAGTGTTTATTTCCTCTCGTGCTGATTACATTTTAAAGGGAAAGGTTACGGCAGACACGACAAACACAACATTCGGCCCACAAGCGACTGCACGTTCTGCAGACTTGACAGCGCAGTGTGAAGCAGCGGTTTCCAGGACCTCCACCAACAGTTTCCAGGACCTCCACCAGCAGGAACTGAAACGACCTAAAATTAGATGGCAATGGGGAAAGTCTCTGGGGGATGTTCAGAAATGTTCTTTTGTTTGTTTTCTTTTATGTCATTAAGTATATGTTGTAAATCATAGGTCAGAGGCGCTGGGATGCTTCCAAAAGCCAACTTCCTTCATTACAGAATAGGAATTTCGGGAGAATAATAGGGAGCTGAAAGGAATACACGGCAGAGAAAAGCACTAACAGTGGTAAACTAGTATTAATTGATCAGGAAACAGCCAGCTGAAGGGAAATCAAGCTCTCTGGTAATGATAGGGGCGTGACAATGACAAACACGACAGTGGAGAAGTCACTGGACACATTCAGAGCAAATATTGATTTGAGGGTCAAAGCATTAAAATAGGAAGGAAAAGTGGAGAGAGAAAGGAGAGAGTTCCTCTCCATTTAGCTTGATGCTGGCTGTCAGTTTGCTGTATATTGCTTTTATTAAGTTCCTTGTATCGTGAAGGTGTGTTGGATTTTGTCGAAGGCTTTTTTCAGCATCTACTGAGATGATTTTCTTCTTTAAGTTTGCTCTTCTGGTGAATTACACTGACAGATTTTCATGTGTAGAAACATCCCTGTATGTCTTGGATAAAGCCTACTTGATCATGGTGGATAATTTCTTGATGTGTTCTTGGATTTGGTTTGTTAGTATTTTATTGAATATTTTGCATCAATGTGTATGAGGGAGATTGGTCTGTAATTCTATTTCTTAGTTGAACCTTTGTGACTTAGGTATTACGGTAACATTAGCTTCATAAAAAGGTTTGTCAAGGTTCTTTTTGTTTCTATTTTATAAAAACAATTTAAGGAGTATTGGCATCAGTTCTTTGAAGTTCTGGCAGAATTTTGCACTGAAACCATTTGGCGCTGGTTTTATTTATTTATTTATTTATTTATTTATTTTGTTGGAAGACTTTTGATGACTGCTTATATTTCCTTAGGGATTATTGGTCTCTTTTAATTGTTTGTCTGGTCTTGATTTAAATTTAGTATATGGTACCTACTCAGAAAAATTGTCTATTTCTTCTACATTTTCCAATTTTGTGGAGTACAGGTTTTTGAAGTATGACCTAATGATTCTCTGGATTCCCTTGGTGTCTGTTGTTATGTCCCCCTTTTTATTTCTGATTGTGTTTATTTGGATATTCTTTTTCTGCCTTTTGGTTAATTTGGATAAGGATTTGTCTATCTTGTTGATTTTCTTGACGCTCTTTGTTTCATTGATTATTTTTATTGTTTTCTTTGTTTCTATTTTATTGATTTCAGCCCTCAATTTTGTTATTTCCTGTCATCTACTCTTCTTGGATGAGTTTGTTTCTTTTTGTTCTAGAACTTTCAGGTGTGCTATGAAGTCAATAACGTGAGATTTCTCCACTGTCTTTATGTAGGCACTTATTGCTATGAACTTTCCTCCTAGTAGTGATTTCATAGTGTCCCATAGATTTGAGTATGTTGTGCTCTCATTTTAATGGAGTTCTAGGAAGTCTTTATTTCTTTATATTTCTTCCTTGACCCAGGGGTGGGTCAGTTGAGCATCATTGAATTTCCATAGGTTTGAAGGCTTTCTGCAAATAAGGTTGTTGTTGAATTCTAATTTTAAGTCATGGTGATCCAATAGGATACAGGGGCTTATTCCAATTTTTTGTATCTGTTGCAGTTTGCAGTTTTAGAGATGGCTTCATGTAGTGCAGAGAAGATGCAGAGAAACTTCTTTTGAGTTTGGGTAAAATGCTTTATAGAGGTCTGTTAAGTCCATTTGAGTCATAACATGGATTACCACTCAGCGGTAAAAAAACAATGGCATCTTGAAATTTGCAGGCAAATGGATGGAACTACAAGAGAACATCCTGAGTGAGGTAACCCAGAGCCAGAAAGACAAACACAATATGTACTCACTCATAAGTGGATACTAGACTTAAAGCAAAGGATAACCAGCCTATTGTCCATAGCCCCAGAGAAGCTAGAGAACAATGAGGAGTCCCAAGAGACACATACTGGGTATGGGAAAATAGACAAGATCTCTTGAGTAAATTGGGACTATGGGGGTGGATAGTGAGGGGAGAAGGGAAAGAAGAGGACATGAGGGAATGAGATGGTCGAGATTGGGGAAGGACAGAGAGGGAGAGCAAGGAAAGAGAGAGCTAGTATGGGGTTAGGGAGAAACCTAGCAATAGGAACATTTTCCGGGAATCCACGAGCATGACCCCAGCTAAGACCCTAAACAATAGTGGAGAGGGAACCTGAATGGGCCTTCCCCTGTAATCAGATTGATAACTACCTTAATTGTCACCATGGAATCATCCAGGAAATGGTGGAAGCAGATGCAAGGATCCACAGCTAAGCCCTGGGCCAAGCTCACAGAGTCTAGTCACAGAGAGGGAGAAGCGATGTTATGAGCAAAGGGATCAAGACTATGATGGAGGAACCCACAAAATCAGCTGACTTGAGTTAGTGGGAGCTCACTGACTCTAGACTGACATCTGGGGATCCTACATACGACCAAACTAGACCCTCTGAATGTAGATGACAATTGGGTGGCTTGGGCAGTCCGTAGGGCCACTGGCAGTGGAACCGAGATTTATCTCTTGTGTGTGAACTGGCTTTTTGGAGTCCCTTCCCAATGGAGGGATACTTTGCTCATCCTAGATACAGGGAGGAGGGCCTTGGACCTGCCTCAGTGTGATGTGACAGATTTTGTAGACTCCCCATGGGAAGCCTTATCCCTTTTGAGTAGTGGATGAGGGATGTGGTGGGAGAGTGAGAGGAAGGAGGGGAGGGAGTGGGAACTTGGATTGATACGTAAAATGAAAAAAAATGTTTTAAAGTAAATAAATAAATATGAAAAAAGGAAGGGAGAGAGGAGGAGGGTGAGAGACAGAAAGGAGACTGACATTAAGAGTCTCATCCAGTCCTTCTCTATGTATAGAATCCCTATACTCCAAACGAAAGCAAACTAAGCTGCCACCACGTCAAGAAGCTGTTCCTAAAGCTGTTATCCAGCTGAAGGAAATCACTCTGTGCTGTACCTCCTCATGGGATACACACTTAGCTGAAGAACAGCTAAACGGGCACATGTCATTCACTTCCATAAACAAGAAAGAACATCTAGTACTTTTTACAAGTGTATGGAATACGTTATGCAACAGAGCATCCTATAGTCTCATACATTTTGCTTCAAATGACAGAATTTTCTTGCACATGTGTAGTATATGTCATTGCGGACAGACAGTACGCTTTCTTTACTCCATCCTCTCTGATAACCCATGCAGATCCCATGATTTGTCTACTGTAAAAAAGTCTGCAGTAAACATGAGTACGCAGGCATCTCTTATGCAAACACCCTGATTTTATTTCTTTTAGATTGTAATAACAGAGTTTGATACTGCAGTAGTTTGCTTCTAGCTTTCTCGGGAATTCTCATACTATCTTGCATTGTGGCTCTAGTGGCTTAAAATCCTAACAGTGTTTAAAAGAACCAATTTATTGCCACAACCTTGTCAGTATATACATATGTGTATATCTATGTGTATATATAAATGAGTGCATTCACGCGAACACACACACATATACACACATAATATATAGTGCATTTTGCTAACAGTCATTCTAACTTAGATGACAGGATATCTCACCAAGTTTTGGTATGTATTTCCCAATGGTTGAAGTCATTGTACATTTTCCTACTTTTATTAACCACTTAAAATTCTTTGTTTTAGAAGCATTTGTTTAGATCATTTTTCAATTTTTATTTAGAGTGTTTGTTTCTGTAGGTGAGTTTATTGGGTTATTTTCATAATCTGGATATTAATCATTTACACGTTTGTAAATGCTTTCTCCAGGTCTAGAGCATCTCTCCTCAGTCTATGATTTGCTTTGCTGTGCACCAGTTTCTTAGATTGTTGTAATTACATTTGTTTTTTTTTAGCACA